AATATACTAACCACTTTAAATTTCATTATAATGTGATTTGAAACGTAATTTTTTTTTTAATTGTTATTTTCAGTTTAATACCATAATTGCACATTCGAAAATAATGCAATTTAGTAAACCAGACACGCTTTATTTTGTAGCAAACAATTTTTCTAAGTAGTCTTATATAATGCGTTTGTATGCTAACTGTTTCTTTAGAAAAATTAACGTATAATTTTACGTTATTTTTACACACATTAAACCTTTACATCTTTAAATATTACTTTTTTTTTTTTTTTTTTGTGGCTAATGAAGACAAATTATTAAACAGTTGAAGCAAAACAAAAAAAAAAATGAAATAAATAATATTATCTTTTTAAACTTTACAGGATTTATAAATAATTACTAAGAGTTTCAAAATTTCAACAAAAAAAATCAGAATTTTTTTTTTATATTGAGAATGTAAAAAGAGAGGGAAACAATTTCCTTCAACAGAAAGAAACCTCTGCAAACAAACCTTTGTGATTAGTAAATTTTTTTTTTCATTTTCTCTAAAGTTCATTTTTTGTTATATTTTGTCGTATAAGAAAAAATATTTCTAAAAGATATTTCAATAATATTTTCTGAAATATCGACTGTAATATTAAGAAATATATTCGGTATTTCCTTTTATCCTTTCTCAAGAGTCACACTAAGTGCAGTCTACTTCTTACATCAGAAAAAAAAATTAAAATCGCTTAAAAGAAATGAAGAATTTGTTTATCATAATTTAGTATACACCCGCAGAATTTGCAATTAAAGAAAAATATTTTTAATGATTTATACATTCAACAAAAATCTAATTCTCTTAACTTATTTTTTGCTAAAGAAAGAATTTTTCGTCTAAACAAATTTATTAATTCTAGAGAGTTAAATTTATAAGAGAGTCGGAAAAAAAGAACTATTTTACCTACTAGAAATTTTTTTACTACCTACCCATCAAATTTAAGTCGTAAATGGTGACTTGAAGACCGTTCAACTTTAGATCCATGGATTCCTGCTTTTGACTGGAGAGTAGAGGCAGTAGAGGCCGTCTGTACGCAATGCTGACCACATTGCCAAAATCATACAGTTGGTCACGAATCATATAGTTGGTACATTCCCCTTGGCCCACAAGAGACTGCTAGGGAACTTTTTTTTTATTCGCCATATTTGAATGCCTCATCGCATTTATAAAAAATACTAGTTTTCTTTATTGTTCATTATTTAATTAATTTTAATTTTCTCTTCGGAACTAACCAATAGAATTTTTTTAAAAATTAAAATTAGCTTTATTAGATTACGTAATTTAACTGGTTCCATTCTTTTATAATAATGAAGTTTTTCAATTGCAATTTAAATAAATATTTAAAATATTATCACTTTTTGCATTCAATAACTGTGCTTTATTAAATCAATTAATTTCAAATGTAATAAACAAATGGAAACATACATAGTACTTATATTATAGTTTCAGGACTAAGAATCCCTCGAAATACAGTATTCAAATTTAGCCACTGTATCATTTCGTAATGATAGAACAATGATTTTTTATTACTTTTCGTGACTTTTCTTTAAAAAAAAAAAAGAAAGAAAGAAAAGAATAAGACGTACTATGAAAAAAAAGCAAGTGGTGTTTAAATATTTTTTCACTATAATTTGAGTAAGAAACTGTCATAGAGAGTGCGAGATGTGTCAATGCAATAAAGTATGTATAAATGGAATTAGTGTGAAATGGAAAGTTCCAGCCATGAAAGTGCAAATGGAATACGCAAAGTATCTTTTGCTTTTTCGGCGAATTTTGAACTAGAGATTTCAGAAGAAAAATACGTCAGTAAATCAATTTAAAAAAAGACAGAGAAAAGTAAAAGGGAGAATGTAAATAATCGATGGTGAATGTGTAAATCGAACGATTTATTCGTTATCTAATATTTTCATAAATTATGGAAATTCGTCAAACCTGACATGAAGCACCTATGCACGCCTTTAATTAAATTGGAGACCGAACTAAAGCACGGCCGAAAAAAGTACTAGCCGATCATACTACCAGTCTTTAGAACTTGGAATCAAACCCCGGCCGAAGCAGTAAAAGGTGAATACTCTACCCCCATTAATCTAGAAGCAGAAATCTCTGTATTAATCAGCGACATGAAAAATATTAAAATTTATCTGACAAGGATGTGTTAAAATATAAAAAAAAATTAATATTGTGCTTTGTAGATCAGTAAGTTTTAAAAGGCAAGAATATTCAATGAATCAATGCATGATAAAATCTGTATCATTAAAAGGTTTTTTGTTGAAACTGAAGCAGTTAGAAATTATTAATTGAAAAGAGAAAAATTCTCTTACAATAAAACTAAAAATTTAGATTCCTGACTTTATTTATTTTTCGCTTATTGAAGTAAGTCAACATTAAAAATAAAATTTTGAAAAAATTAACAAAATACCATATGAATTAAATAAAGTTTTTAAGTAAAGAATTTAAACCATTCTAAATCTTGAGAAATTATAAATTCTACCTGAAATAAAATAAAATTGCATTACAGACGATATTCTAAGAAAAAAAAAAAAAAAAAAAAACGTAGAGAAATAGAGTGAACAAAATAAATTGCGGTGCCTTTCGCATGCCTCACAAGTTCTGCTACCGGACCCACAATATAGCGATTTGCTTTTTATCAATTAATAGAACATTCGCTTTATATAAAATCCAGGCAGCTATAGTTGATAAAAATAAATATTTATATTTTACAAACTCAAAACAACAAGCTACTTAATTTTAAAAATATATGTTCAGCAGGCAAGGGGGAATATAAGGGGTTTTTCCAATGATGTAGCACATTTAGATTATACAAATTTGTTTCATTAACTTTTTAACAAATATTGTAATATTTCTCTACAATTCTCTCTTTATTTTTTTATTGTCCCACTTAAAAAGCAACTGAGTTAGAAGGGGTATAATTTATTACAATCTCTCTGACTCCATGCCAGATCCCTATGAATTTGAATTATCGTAAAAACCGATTTTATAATAAAATAATTCCTCTTCCAAGTGTCACACCCTCCTTCCATGAAACTCTATTGTTGAGGGAACGAACATGGAGTCTGCTCTCGGTAATAATGGTGTAATTAACAATAACAAAATCTGGAAGAATCTCTCGGCCACCCCAATCAGCTGACACGTCTACTTTTTTCGGCGCACGAGTCAAGCGAATAAGGTTTTTGCGAATGGCAACGTCTGGCGCTAGAGTCATCTTAAATTTCTTTAGGCCGAATCACTCGCCCTTTGCGAATTGTTAAATCAAGATGTTGAAAAGTTTACTGGGCTGGCTTATGCCAGTGCTGATGTAATCTAGTGGTGAGTACATATTTTTAATAAACATATTTTTATTTAATAAACCAATTCATGTTGATCCGAGGAATCGACTCAATTTATTGATCTGTAAAAGTAAAATATTCCGATTCCTCGTGATCTAGATTACCGGGAAGTAAGAGTAAATGTATACCTGCTTAGCTCCATAATGGGTTAAGCCTAACATACGATAATCGTCGTAACTAACATTAACTTGATAAAATTAATGATATGGGGTGATTTAAAAGTGTTAAAATATTTCGTTTGTGTTTTTTGTTGTTTTCAGTGTATTTATTTTGCAGTGCTCACGTGATAGGTCCTTGTATTCATGGCTGAATGCAATTGGCCTGTAAAAACGTGTTCGCATTAAAATACACTTTTGAGTATGATCATGCGTGTAATTGTTAATTTTTTTTTTCAAAATTTGTGTAAAAATAATCGTTACAACTTTTTTATATCATATGGTTATTTTTGATGTATGTTAAGTTCCTATATAGTTAAAATTTTTTCCGAAGGCGTTTGCTGCCCTCGGCTATTAAGTCGCGAGTTGAAATCGTTGCTCTAAGGATATTTGAAGTCATTGTGGCGATTATGTTTTTGATTATTTGTTAAATTCTATGACGCAGTTATATCAAGCTGCATAATTGTGCATTGCGGGAAATGTTTTGATAGCAAAAAAGCTATTCTTATTGGTGTGCGCACTTCCATTTGTAGACCTGGATACATCGAATTATATCATGCTTTCTAAAAATGTGACACTTTTCAATATAACTTTAAGAATCCGCGTTTTAATCCTGAATTTTGCTTTTCTTGCCTACAAAATATCGATAAATGGCAGTATTGCATCATCGATTTGCTTAAATATACCCATAGAATATTTTTTGTATCATATTTCGTGTTTTCTTCAAATATTATTTTGTTTATATTGAAATTTTATTCTATAAATTTTGATTATGCAAATATTATTAATTTTTTGTGTTAAATCTCTGTCAGAATTTTGTGTATTAGAAAATTCAGACTTATTCTATTAGTATAAAGTGCATTTTGTAAACATTGTGCATCTGAGGAAATTTTATGATTGTAAAATTAATAAAACATGAGCATTATTTTCAAATGTGTGAGAATTTACAGAGTATGTTTTATTTTGATATGATTAATTAAAGTTATGATGAATTCTATATCTAATGAGTTATTTGCATGGTTTGTTGTTGTATTTTTTACAGTTTATAATTGATGTATAAAAACTAATGTCTGAGCACAGTAAACAGGTTTTGCACCTGAAACAGGTTCCTTGAATTAATCAATAATTTTTATATAAACAAAGACAAACCTAATACGATTCTAGGATTATTTACTAATGAAATATCTTACCTTAAGTATTTAAAAATAAATAACTTGTATACTTATAATTGCTAGTTTAGAAGCATTGCAGATATCAAAGTGTACTATGTAGCGGTTTTAATTTTTAGATTACCAAAAGATTTTCAACCCTTGCTATATATTTTTTACTATAACTATATTTTTTATAGTACTTTTTGACCTTAAAGCTACATGAATCTCTAGGTATTCTACAACAAGTTGAATTGTTTATATGGCTGACTTTACACTATATGTAACTCTTCACTTTTGAATCTAATATCACTTTATCTTATAGACCATGTCTCCAACATTCATCCTGGCAGTTACCAGAATCAAACAACTGCAGAGCAATGCAGCTCAAGTAACTTTCCCCTCCATAATCTAGAAACAGGTGAGTTTATTTTCATGGTTTTCTGATACTATTGCTTTTTGCTGAAAAACTATAAATTATGTTCTCATTATTCTATTAATATTCACTTGGTGTACTTTTTTATTTATATTTTACACAATTGTTTCTTAAGTTAAATTGTTTTAAATTTTTGAAGTCAACATGCTGCTATTGTGTCTTCTTAAATGTATTGTTCCATGACTACAATGGCTGCTTTTTGCATCATTATATTTGTGTTCTTAGATGTTATGAAAAATATTATCGTAGACGCTAATAGCTTTGGAAATAATAGTTTTACCTGTATAATCGAGAAATTTATGTAGAAAAACATTTTTGTAATACTATCATTTGCCTATCAAAATTTATTACAGAATCTTACCAACTAACTGTATTGTAGTTTTATCAATGATAGAATAAAATTGTTTGAGCAAAGATAATTAGAACCTTAATATTTAATATATTGCTATTCATCTTAATTTATCTTTTAAAGAAATGAATTACGATGGTGTTTATCTTAGCATAGTTGCCAAAACTACCCATTTGAAAGCTGGAGAGTAAAATTATTAATCTAACATCTTTTTGTTTTATTTAATGTCAGAAAAAAATGCTTAAAGATCATTCACTTATATACATGGCTCACTTGAGACTTACAGAATTCATTGTTTCAAAGCTTTTAGAATTCAGTCACATTGAAAGAAGATCAAGCAACAATTTTACATTATCAAATTTGTATGTAATGAATTTATTATTGATTTGTCTCTTTCATTTGATTTTAAAAGTGAACAATTCTAAATAGCAAGTAATTCATATCAATTTTATGGTGAATTATCTACTATATTAGTATAATACCTAAAATTATAGCATGTTTACTGTGTTTTTGTTTTAATATTATTGAAACCTTACTTTAAAACTATTTGATTCTTTAAAACTTCAACTTTTACAAATTACATATTGGTGTGAGAAAATATTAAATAATTGATGTTGGTATTTTTTTTAGTGCTGTAATATTATGAAAATTTTCTGATCTCAAACTAAGAGTTGTTAATAGCTGCCAACTCTTCTGCATTTCGCTTTAAATCCGAAGCACCAATGGATTGCTACATGGATTTTAGTTATCATAGTTATAAAAAAAATTTAAATGCACTTTCTTTAATTTGCATAAAATAAAAAATTTAGTTTAGAAGTTGTGGACATGACAAAAAGGAAAATTATTATTTACTATTGCAGCATTTAATATTTATAATTAAACATGGTATTTTAAGAGATATATTGTAGTTACATAATTAATGACTGAAAAAACGTCATTTTTACATTTAGTATTAAAATACTGGGTGTTTATAAGAGAGCATCTTTATATTTTAATAAATTTTTTTTTTTTTTTTCAAATTTTATTAAAACAAAACAATTAATTATCTGTTTCAAAAAATTAGTGTCACAAACATAAAATTTAAAATTTGCACTATTAATTTTTGCACTTATAAAATTTGCACTATTTAATTTTGTAATGACTAATTACATTGAACAATTACTTCATTTTAAGCATGTATAAATTCCATTTTTTTTTTAAAAAAATAGGTATATATGTATTTTCAGAGCTCATTCTAGGCAGGGTAAACAGGGTGCAGCACCCTGCTGCCCTTTTAGTCAAAATAATCCACCCTGTTGCCCCTGAAGTAAATTAGTGCCCTGATGTAATAGACTCCATATCCTTTTTGTCCTTTCTTTCCTTAACTCTTCTTTATTTTTTCCCCCAAACTCTACAATGGATTTCTTAAACTTTTGTTATTTTTAACTCTTTTTATATAGTTTGTCATTGCTGTCAATACATAGATTTATATGGGAAAGGAAAAATAGCCATCAAACCCCCCTGTAGCACTTGTCTTTGAAAGTTTGCAGTTACTTCCACTATCATTAAATCATAATTTATTAATCATTTTAATTATTAAATCATAACTACAGACACTTAAAAACATACATTTATTATTTTATTAATATATGCATGCATTTTAAATAAATTACTAAGCTAATTAGCTCATTAACTCAATAGATATGTTAATTTATTAATAAAAATTAGTATTTAATACAATTGCATTGCTACTTTTAGTAAAGTTTAAAAAGGAAGAAATTATTGCCTTTTTAGAATAATAATGGCCTTTTTTTAAACTTTTGCACCCTGCCCTTTTTTCTGCCTAGAATAAGGTCTGTGTATTTTAAATTTTAGCAACAATTGCATTTATAGCAACAATTAAGAATAAGAAGTTAATAGAAGATAAATTAGGTGAGAAATTATATGCCTAAAAAGGATACTAAGCTTCTAGAAAACAATTAGTGAATTTCTTTTAATGATTGAAAATTAAAATTTCAGTGTGAGAGCTGCTGCCAGTGTTGTTGGCATACCTTACTTAACTTTACACTTTCCCTTAATGAAGTTAAAAAAATCCAGCAAAAGTAACCCATGTGGGAACTCTCTTATATTTCAGAAGAACATTAGAATGAGTTGGCTGAATGCCTAAAATGTATGGCACGATGCAAAGATTTTTGAACATTTAAAGCGTTAATCGTTCTTCTTGCTTTTAAATAAATCATTTTATTAGCTGCTTAAGTATACCTTTTTGGTTTATTTTTTGATCTAATGTCTTATTTGTTAATTACCATTATATAATTATTTTCAAACAGCCCCTTTACAATAAAAACTGGTGATCAGTAATTACCCCAGAAGTGATCAAGACCAGGGGTAATTCCTGATCACTAAAAATTTAAAATCCTTTAAATTCTAATTAGATTTTCAAACAATAGAAGTTGGCATAGGACTCATCTCATATAGCCTCAAACTTCCAGTAAATATTAAAATTCTATTTTGAATAGTTTTTTCACAAAATAGATGTTTGCGTTTTTTTATCAGGAATTACCCCAGGTCACCCTATTTAGGCTATACAGAGGTTTTGCTATTAAATTAAATTTTTCTTAGAGTTTTGAAAATATTTAATCTTTGCTAGTTGATTTGTTTTATTATATAATTCATGTTAAGAAAACTTGAAGCAGATTATAGAATTCTGAACTAAGTTTGTAAAACTGTAAAAATTCTCCATGCCATTAACAAGTATAGAAATGTCTCAACTAAGAAGACAGAAATTGAAAGCTGAAGCAGTGAAATATGGAACTATCATAGCAGAAGAAAGCAAGAAAAGAAAAAGAATATACACATTCTAAGGTTCTTCCTGAAGAACAGGAGGAGCACATAAGAACAAAAAATAGTGAAGTACAAAGGAATGTAAAAAGAAAAATGCAAAATATGAAAAATGAAGCATGAAAATATCTGCCTACACCAGCAGACAATCTTTGGGAAAAAGCGGTAAAAAAAAATTAATAATGCTTTGCCAAAATCTCCTCAGAAGAAACTTGATGATATCAAAAATGTCTCCATTAAAAGGAAAAGGCAACGGGTGCATATTTAAGGAACGGATTCTAGAATTAGTGGTTGAAAAATCAGGAGTGATAAATTAGCAGAGGAAACTGAGGTAAAAGTAAAACAATTTTTATTAGAGTTGATATTAGCCACATATGCCCATGACAGAAGATCAATTTGCTTTGAATTCTCCCTTTAGTCCCCAAATCATGCACCTAGTTGAAATATTTACTAAACAGCCTTCAAAACTTGCTGTAGATTCAAAATAGCAAACTTGAACATAAGCAACATTTTAATCAGTGGATAACCTTATTGTTTGATGACTTGGTGGCCCGGCCAATTGATTTCTACAACCTGGACAGATATGACACTGAACACCACTTCAAGTTCGTAGCTCTAAACAAGTTTAAGTTTTTGGAAAAACCGCTACTTGAAATAATAACTGACTCATACTTATGCCCTCAGTCACATGATTCTTCACCTGATCATTCTGCACAGTTTTATTCATACAATTCTAAACTTGCTTTAAAGATAAATAATATAATAAATAAATTGTAATGAAATTTTTTACTTATCATTTGCAAGTTTAAAATATTTTAAAAAAAAAAAACAATGAATAAAAAATAGTGATGGGGCCGAATACCGAATATTCGGCCAAATTTTAGGCCGAATACCGAATATTCGGTGGCTGAATATTTACTTTTTAAAAATTTCTCTTTTGATTGTAATTTTGTAACTAAAGTAATTTTCGAATTTTAAATTAAAAATGAAATGAATATTAGCAAAATTGCTTCTTTAATATTTGTATATTTAAAAACATTTTAACAACTTGATTTATTTTTTGTAATAATTTAAATATCTTGATGCCAATAACAAGGCAATATGGCTTTTATAAATCTAAATAATTAATAATGGCATGTTTTAGTTATAGTTAGTTATACTTGTAATTTATATGCTATTTTATTTAAAATAAGAACTCATTACTACTGTTAAATGTATTCTTAACTTTCTTTTTTGTCAGAAAAATTATTAAAACCCAGAAAATTAAGAAATTTTTAAAAAGTTTCACTTTTGAAATTTTAATTTTGTAATTAAATAATTTTCAAATTTTAAATTAAAAATAAAATAAATATTAACAAATTTGCTTTTTTAAACTTTCCATATTTTAAAAAAAATTTAACAACTTGATGTATTTTTTGTAATATTTTAAATATCTTGATGCCAACAATAAGGCTTTCACAAATCTAAATAATTAATAATAGCATATACTTCATTATTCGGCTGAATAACTTCAGTATTTAACTAGGCCCAATATTCGGCAAAAGGGCCGAATACCGAATAGTGGCCGAATATTTGTTACATCCCTAATGAAAAATCGTAATTTACTCAATATTTTATTTAACGAAAGAAATCTGTAATATTTTAATGATATACAACCATCTAAGAAGGTTATTTATAATGAGAAACTTTTTGTCATGTCCGCAACATACAAATTATTTGTAATTTGGCATTTTTCAATTAAATTAATTTATTTCTTCAAAGGTCTTAGGATTTCTTTTATAGAAATATACACTGAAATTTTACCTAAAAAAAGTTTTAATTTAAAATTCAAAGATTTTAGTGAATGTAGAAAAACTTTATTTATAATAAAACTTATTTTTCTGAGTCATGTCCGCAGCACTTCAAATTTTTACTTTAAAGGAGTTTAAATTCATTTTTATTCTTAAATATGCATTGGGTTAAAAGAAGACATGTCTCTTGATTTTATAATGTGAAAAACCAGTCAACTAACTAATTTTTTTATTTAATGATGAGCAATCAAACCTTGTAAATGTCATGTCTGCGACATGCACAATACTGTGAAATCACCCATGAACTAACACTTTGTATCTAAAAAAATTTAAACCTACAAAACAATCTTAACTGTCCAAAGCTTTTACTCAAATAACAATTTTATCTATGAAAAAATTGAGTGTAAGAAATGTAAAAATAAAACGCTTTATTTGTTAAACTCAAATTGTGTTTATATCGTTTGATTCTCAAAATCAATAAACTTATTGATTTTTATTTGTTTTTATAGATGCATTAAATAAAAGTTGAAAAGAATATCTTTTTTTGTCTTAATTATTTATATAAGAGCATTTCATATTGTTATGTATATTTCTTATTAGATATTTAAAATATTGATAATTAATAACATTAAACAAGATAAACAATATATATATACATGGTTGCCACAGGCGACTAAAATGCAACTATTTTTGGCATGAGGCGACTATGGCAACTTTTTTTTGCCTGAAAAGGCTAAAAAAGCAACTATTTTTACGAAAAGGAGACTATTGGGAGACTTTTCTGTACTCCTAAAGATTTTTTTTTTTTTTCAAGCATAAATTGGTGAAAAATCTGTGCCCCGCTAGATAGTTCCTGAACACACTGAACTTTTTTTTCTTAAAAAATAAAAAAAATTTAAAATTTTGAATTGCAAATTTGAGTCTTCACTTTTTAATTCAATTAATCTGCACAAATTCCATTTTAAGTCTATTTCATTTCTTGATCACCTTTTCAATGATTATTGCTAAAAAATTCTGCATGATTTTTTTTATTTTTTTAAAAAACTTTTTTTAACTGTATTACAATGCATGAATTTCGAATTTTAGTAATCACTTTTCATATATATAAACATTTATATGAAAATTATCATATTTGCCACCAACTTGACTGAATGGATGATGGTATATGACATTTAAGTCATTAACAAAATTTTAGTAATATTTTTGATGAATTTTTGTTCTTATTAGGCAACTATTTTCCTAGTTTTTGGCTACTATTTTCATGTTTATTTTGGCACAGGCTATTTTGTTCATTTTTTCTGTGGCAACCCTGTATATATCATAATTTGAAATTGATTTACATCTACTGAGCATAAGAATGTTAAGGTGATATGTATAAACAAAAGGTGAAAAAACACATGCATGAGTAAATAGCATTTAAATATTACAAAAAGCATGTTTTAGCATGAAGCAAAGAAGGCTTAATCAAAGGAAGGGATAAGAATAGTCTTATTCAGTTGCTTCTCTTAACATTCAATGAATATAACTAATTTGCCTGCTGTCTTAACACCATGGCGATTTTTAAGCTCTGAATAACTCCGAATTTCGAAAACATTCTTTCAATTGATGCTAAGCTTACTAGGCATGAGAAGAAACGAGTTATAAATTTTAGAATGCCTGTGGGATGTTTTTTTAATATCATTAATTTTTTAATGGTTGTTCACCATGTCATTGGTATCATGTATCTTCGAGCGTCTGTAAACTAAGTTTTAGGGAATAAATAGTACTGCAACAATACTGTTAGTCGAATGTGTCCAAAAGCACTTGTTTCTAAAAAATGATATCTTGCAGATTTTGGTGACTATTTCCTTGCATATTGCAGTAAATAATACAATCGGTAATAGATTTTTGACACTTTTCTAATTAGAGAGAAAAAAATATCCTTATTCGGAGGATAAAAAATATATCCTCTTTAATTCCTATAAATGCACTTTCTTTTTTATAAAAAATAAGCTGCTCATCCCATTAAAAACACTGCTTTTTTATTCATGTTTAAACCTGTCATGTCACCGTTTTAAGATCTTATTGCTTACTGATGCATTCTGTACCAGTGTGCTTTATTTTTTCAAATTGTTTCTCTGAATAATCTGAGAATTTTTCCTGTAAATGAAGTATGAAGCTTATTTTTATTTCTGCATTGTACCTAGACTGGTACTGTTACCATAAAGTTTTGCAGTAATAGTAAACAAATTTAGTGGAAACAAAAACTTGTGTTAAATAACCTGACAACAATGTAGTCAGCTCTTAATTACCTATGGTGGAACCCTTTTCAGTTCATTAAATGGAATTTTTTGAGTTCTTAACCGACAGTACCTTGTTAATGAGAACTTAACAAGGTACAAGAATCCTAAAGCGCAATGGTTATCTTAAAAAAATTTAATTGTGTATTTTTTGTAACACCATTTGATTTTGCTATCTTGACAGGGTATAACCACTCTTGTACTATTTAGTTGTGCATTCAGTTAAAATTTTAAAATTAAAGATTCGTAAATAAATAGCTTTTTTAAATGAGACATTTTGCATGCCATTTCTTTTTCAGTTTGCTTCTAAAAAATGCTGATCATGTTTACTAAATCTGAATATCAACCATATTTTTATTTTCTTCTATTAAAAGATATATGTATTGTTAATTTCATTAAAATAGACTATCATTTTATTTTTACAGGTGACACTGACGCTAAAGTTCCAATTATATCTTTAGACATGGAAGAAACAAATACAGTTGTTACTTCATCTCCATCAGAAACTGCTAGCAGCAGTGCCACTTTAAATTCTACAGAAACTAGTAACTTCCAAGTCACAAATTCTCAAGTCGAAATGTTCTCTAATAATCCAGATAATGTTGAAGGTACTAAAAACAGCATTTCCTAATGCAATTTAACATCTATTTATATCTCAAGTGATTTATTTTATTAAAAAGTTTTAGACTAATAGTTGCAGATTTAATGTTTAATGATGTGACTTTACAATAGAATCTGCAACAAAATTATTTTACGTAGGGTGCGTAGTGTTTTTCAAAAATGCTTAAAGGTGCTTATCTTTTATTTGCGTTTTTTATAAGTTCTTAAAGGTGCATTTTCTTTCATTGGGGTTTGTAAAATTGCTTAATTTTCCATCTTGAATTATAGATTTGTCTTGTTAAGTAAAAGAATTTAAGATCTTTATAATCATTGAAATTAAAATTAATATGTTAAAACATGAATGTTGCTAGACATTTTCTCAGCGTCTATTAAAAGTCCATATATTTTCTATTAGAAATTTTAATTGATTTACTAAGCATATTGTTTTAAAATAAAGATATTGGTATTTCCAGTTGAAATGGCCACAGGTGAAAGGGTGAGTCTAACATCTCTTAAGGAACTTCTACGACGACAGTTGGAATATTATTTTTCTCGAGAAAATCTTCAAACTGATGAATATCTTCAATCTCAAATGGACAGCGATGGCTATGTTGCTATTAGCACAGTTGCTAAGTTTAATCAAGTTCGACGACTGACAGATAATCACAACCTTGTAGTGGAAGTTCTTAGAGGTAAATAATTTTTTTTTTTTTGACAGCTAAAATATTTTAATATACTTTTTTCTCATTGTTTGAAATTAGACTTAATTTTAATCCCTTTAAACTTTAAATGTTTACAAATATATAGTACAATTCATAGGTTGTGTCCGGTGCCAAAAAATTAACTAGTTTAAAAAAAAGTTAAGAACTTTTTGAAGTTAAGAATTTTTATTGCTTTTTCTAACTCTCAAAAAAAGCTAATTTTTTTTTAATGATTTTTATCAGTGAAAATGGGCAAGTAAAGAAATTGCAAATATAGTCGAGAGGAAAACATTGAATTTCATATGCTTGTCACAGTGTGACCACATATCGACAAAAAATATTTAGTACGATTTATCAAGCTTAGAGTGACGAAAGTGCTGAAACACTTTCCAACTATTTAAGTAAGAAATGAGCATGTTGTATATGTTCAGGTTATGGAAATTAGACTATTGCTTGTTATTTATGTTTATCCTCAATTTTTTTTTAATTTTATCATCGTAGCTACCAACTCTATCAAATATTGCAGAAGCTTTTCTCTTTTTCGCTCCCTTTTCTTCCCTTCTGCTTAGAAACTTGTCTTCTACATTTTAAAACCTTACTACAAACTCTGATGTTATTAAACTCAAAACTCTGTTATTGCAGACAAGCAAAAGGAGAAATCGCTCTTCAACATATATTACTAAAATAAAATTTAAATGTTAAGTGATTATTTACATGAAGTTGTAAAGTTTTTATGATATATTTAAGGAACAAGTGGATTATTTAGCTTTGTTATTGAAAACATTAGTTAATAGTTATATACTTAGGAAGAATTCAGTAATTTCAATTAGGCTTAATATACACTCAAACAGAGTGAATACGGTTTATAGTGAACATAAATTTGTGATAGCTTTGAATTACATAAAATCTGTATTCAATAATTTTCGCTGCAAATTTAAATATCAGGGTTGATGGATATGTGTTATCTAATGTTAGTAGGACAAAACTTATGTGACAACTCTTTTAATATTTTCTAATTTTAGAATCTGCTGTAGTCCAAGTAGATGAAGCTGGTGAGAAGGTTCGTTCAAACCCTCGCTCTGGCGTCTTGATACTGCGAGAGATTCCTGAATCTACTCCTTTAAAGGTAGGTATTATATGCGTTTAGATTTAATACTAAAGTAGGGGTGAACAACCTTTTTGAGCGAAGGGCCACTTGCGAAGCACGTAGATTAACGAAGGGCCACACACGTATTATGTTAGCGGCAAATATAATTTTTATATGAACATTAATTTTCTGAACACTAAGTTTTTTATCAGTTAACATAATAACATTTGCAGAAAAATTTATACAGTCGAACCCCGCTATAGTGAACCGTCTGCGGACTCAGTAATGTGTCCACTATAACCGATGGTTCACTATATCCAAATTTTTTGAAGAATATTTTTTGCATAAGACAGTTGAATGATTGAAAATTGGCTTTGCAATTTTGCATAAGTTATTTAAAAAATTATTAACTAATTAACAGATAATAAAGCAAAAATTGATGGAAAAAGTAATTACGTCGCTAAATATTAGTTTTATTTTCACTTTTTATGAAAAAAATTTGTGATT